TAAATTGTAAATCACTCAGGGAATGTGCAGCTCACGTTACGCTATCAAATTACATTACCCAGAAGTTGCTCGCGTGCGTGTTTCATAAACCATTTTAAGTATAATATTATTGGTACTTATTTTACCTAATCTAGACTTAAATAACTTAAAAAGATCCATATTTTTAATTTATTTTTATAATATTAAATAAAGAATAAATATGAAAAACAAGAAATAACGTACTTATCCAATCTTCTTCTTTTCTTGCCATTTATTGTCAAGGAGAGTTAAGCCTGATTTTTTATAGTAATTATAATAAAGCACTTAACAATTTTTATTTAATTACATAATGCACCAAAGAATATAGACTAATAACATCCAAAAAGTAGACAAATTCACTCACCTCTCAAACTTTTTCTGGCTTTCTAGCTATGCAACAAGAGCCGTTACAAGTTCATCCAAGCTAGTCGCTAACTTTCCCACGGGAATGATTTGCTACTCTGAATGAAATTGACGATTATCTGTCCAGAACACAATATTATACAATATGTCATTTGATAGATGAAAACCTTAACTTTCTATTGGTTATAGGTAATAAATAATGAAAAGTAAGAGAACTATCAACGAACTGTGAAAGAGAGGATGTGGCAGGATGGGTCTGATTTTCTATGTGATAGCTCTGTAACCAAACAAAATTGAATGACATAAAACATATGATTTCTCTGAGCAATAAAGATTTTATAGAGAGTAATTTTCGTTTAATTTTGTACATTTTCGATGGGTGATGGATAAAATAGGGATGATGACACGCTAAGACAAAATGTGTCACGTGGGTCACACTAGTGGAAATTCAGGATCTTTTATATATTTCCTTGTAGAATTAAGAACTTAAAAGTTGTATACTATTCAAATATGGATTATTAGGTAAGATTTTATGCTATTCTAATTGGTATAACGTAAACAAAAAGTAGTTTAATCAAATTTTGAATTTAAAACACTAAAACCTTGCATCATACACAGTAAAGGGTACTTGGGGAGAGAGGGTTAATGTATAATGTTGACATGGTTAAGACTACAGTGCTGGCTGTATTTAATTCCCCAAAATGATCACTCCTTAGTCTATGTTAATATGTTAATGCTGAAAAAAATAAATAACTTTACTTCAATTTTTACATTAGATACATATTTACATCTTTATTGTGTGATATACTTCTAGCTCTGCCTATTACATTCACTATACATCAAAATACAATATATAATTACAGTTATTATGCTACAATCACAGTCTCATTCCAAGATGTGTGTCCACTGAATAAAATACCTGTTTTTCCCATTTTATTCTGTCTCAGTAGTATTTCTTATTCATATATCTGTTTGTCTGGCTCATGTTTGGGCTTAACCTTGAATATTTCTGTCTCACCCACCTGTACCTTAGATCATAACTTATATTATGTACACATAATAACATTTTTTCTTCATCTGTATGAAAACCAAACCCAATCATAGCAACCTCTGAAAATTTCTATGATACAAAATTAAGTTACATTTGTGCTTTTTTTTTTTAAAGGCATGCCGTCTCCTTGTAAGATTGTAATAACAATTGATTTAAAAGTTCTCCTTTTTTCAAAATGTAATTTTTTTCTTTGTACATTTTCTACATGGCATGAAAAAATATAAATATAACAATTACCTTGATAGCTTTTGAACTTGGCTATCAGGAGGTACTATAAGAATACCACAACGAAGCCATGTCCTAATAAGATCACTTTGATAAGTAGGGATGTCTTTTTCAAGATGGTCTAAAATTTCTGGTTGATACAACAAGTGACTTAGGTAGCGTGAACAAAATCTGCAAAACATTGAAAGAAAAATCTCAATAAAAAGAAAGAAGAACACACATTTAAAGGATGATTATAAGGAAAACCTTCATTTGAAATTATTATATTTTAAAAACTACGTATTCAGCAAAGGGACACTTGATCTTAAGTTTAATTCAGTAAGCTTGGTCACAGTATAGGGCATTACAAAATCATATAATAATACATATACCTGAACTGCTTTTCATTTATTTTTCTGTCTTTCAACAATGCAAGATTAATGATTTTTAACAAAATGGTCATCAGTGTGTAGGATATTGTGTGGATAATAAAAACTGTTCACAAAAATGATGCTTCATTCAGGAGTAGGCTTGGTATACTGACTGAAAATGATGGAAAGCATGTTTAATAACTTCTGTGACAGTTTTTGAAACACCCTGTACCATGGTCTATATCATCTCCATACACTACAAACCAAATCTTGTGATTCTCAATGTGCCTCTGATGAAATTGAGTTCACCAAGGAGAAACAGTTCTCAAGATAAAATCATTTTAAATAAAAGGTTTTCTTTAAAATTATTTTGTATTTCTACGCAATATTTATAAAGATCAAACAAGACAATTTTGATTAACAAACAAGAGGGGTGAACCACTGGATTCTAGAACAGGAAAATGTGGTGAATTAAACCTATAATAGAAAGATAATGTATTTTATTACAATTTGAGTAAAGGAATCAATTAATTTTAGAGTAAGATAATATTTTCTACAAATATTTACGTCACAAACAATGAAGTATAGAAAAGTGTATAATTACTTAAGAGAAAAACAATAATGAAATATAGAGTATGTTTAACAATGATGTCAGGTCACACACAAATAAAGTTTAGCTTGGTAGTGTCTTAATACTTACAAGAAAAACATAGCTGAACCTTTAGCATATTATGATGAGTCTTGTTAGAATAGCATAAGATACAAACACCGAAGTTTAGCACAGACTAGTATTTTCCAATGACTTATAGGAAAAACTCATTGAAGTCTAGAGCATTATAGCATCTTCTACCATTCCATGATAGCTTATCAGATGATATTTACAAAGTCTATGGAAAAATACTTATTTGTCTTCATCAAATCCTGGATTTGGTAAACAAAGTTAAAAACTATTTATCCAACAATTTGGTTCTAAGACATAAACTTTTTAAAGGTTAAAAGTTTCATTTTGAGTTTACTCACTGATTATATGTATAATTTTATTACAAGTTACAGTTTTTGCAGTAAGAAAGAATATATCTAAAACAGCTATAACATTTTGATCACTGGTGCAATCCTTCTAAGGTACACAAGTTGTAACAGTTTTGTTTTGAATTTTGTGAAAAGCTACAAAAGGGCTTTCTGCACTAGCTGTCCCTAATTTAGCAATGATAGACCAGAGGGAAGGCAGCTAGTCAACACCACCCACTGTCAACTCTGGGCTACTCTTTTACAAAAAATAGTGGGATTGACCATCACATAATAATGTCCCCGCAGCTGAAACGGCAATCATGTTTGGTGTGATGGAGTTTTAACAGTAAAGAAGGTTTTAGTATTTAGCACAACATTCAAGAATCTATCAATGTATTTAAATTTTAGAACTGACTGTGGTTACTTATGCATGTGCATATCAATCTACATGAATTGAAAAAGTATTTAATTATGGCTGAACAGAAAAAAAAACAAAGTAAATAAATATGATAATGTGGAAATGTTATGTGAAATATTTGCATAAAAATAAGACTGTAAATTGTATATGGATTGAAAATATAACAAGTGTTTTCATGTTTTCCTCACTTTGGGGAAAATTAAATTCTCTGACTTTTCCCAGACCATTTGATCTATGTTTGTAATGCATCAATGACTTATAGCAATATGTGAAATTGCAAAACATCATTCAAGTATTGTTCAATAAATGCACTTTGACCTACCCGTAAGAAAGAGGGTTAATTCTTTCTATACCGAGGTCAGAGCTCTTGTCATTAGCCATTTCATTACGTTTTGTAGACTTACATTCGAAATTTTATTAAACTACTATTTTATGAATGCATGCCCATAAATCTAGCATCAAATTGTAATTTTTAATTCCAATTTTAGTATTATACATTATCTAATTTCTTAGCTCAAAAGTAAATATTAAAAAAAAAAGAAGCTAAATATCAAATTTGTTTTTGTGTGTCACATGGTATCTCGTCTCCTGCATTCACTCAGATTGTGTTGTGGGCATCATAAAATGTCAAGTTTACAGTTATAGTATGACTACTCTCATGATTTTTTTTGGTGGTCATGTACTAGCTCTGTAGTAAAATAATTAATGGATATAATAAATATTTAGTTTTTTACATTCAGTGTTTCTCTCTTCATTCTAGTTCTTGATGTAAGCTGGACAAACTTGTGAGTCATGATGCACTTCATGTAAATTATGTACAAAACCTAGTGAGACAATAGCTTTATCCTCACCTCATATATGGGCCAAATGACAAGCTAGTCAAAATTTACTTCATAAGCAAATTAATCAAATTGAAAGGCAGTTGCTAATTGTTGAATCCATACATCTGACTTTCTATTAATGTTTTTCATGGACATTTAACACCATTTTAAGTTACAGATTTCTTGCCATCATAACAATAAGTACCATACTTATAACTATAGTATTCAAGCATAAAATATTAATTTTCAATATTTAAAACAAACAGAATGAGAAACTGTTATAAGTAAAAAGCTGTGACTTACACTGGACTGGTTTTCCCACTAATGCTGAATTGATAAAACACATCAGAAAAACCTTCTTTCACTTTATCATTTGAACTAGCAGGTCTAAAAAAAAGGAAAATGATTACATAATATGCAAAGCTAATCCTTTCTCACTTGATGTATGTATATATCTACATCTAAAATAAAAGTTTGACAGGCAATCTACCAATGACAATAAGTATTATAGAATAGAATGTTATAGGATAAAAACAATATGCTACTTCGAGTGTGCAAATTACTCACAGTTCTAACATGAGAAATGTGAGGCCTGCTGCAATATCTGCCAACTGAGGGAGAGGAGTCTGAGAAGCTGACAGTGTTCGGACAGATGGCAATATTTCTTCATACAAGGAAGAAGCCAGAGCTATATAAATAGAAACAGTAAAAAAAAGCATGAATAATCCTGGAATTAATATATATATATATATATATGCATACACCTAAAGAAACCGTATCTATGTTAACATCTACTAAAAACATGAAATCCAAAGTACTGGAACTTTATGTAATTATACAACAAAACACATTAATAAGCAAGAATTATAATATCAACAAAGAAGCATAATAAACTTTATTCTGATTTGAATTTATGATGTGGAAAGATTGATGATGAAAGGCAGATTAACCATCATGTTTTAACCTCCATGATCAATATTTAAGTAAATTTTAAAGATGACTCCAAGAGAAGAGACTGAAGCTTGCCTACTAAATACATTGAACACACAGATCAAAATCACGTTTCTCATAATAATCTCAGGGTCAATGGTGCTAAAGGAGGGTTTTAGGGGGTGGGGTGGAGGCTATAGCCCCCCAAAATTTAACTTAGCCATCCCAACTAGCATGTCTGATACATTGGTGATCTACAAATCTTGATGGCAAAGTCCACCAATATTCTGTCTGTCTGACTGAAAACAGCTGGTGTTAGACCTGAATAATCTTCAACTCAAATCTTATAAACAATGATGTGTGAGCTGCAATTTTATATTTCCAGAGTAATAAACTTGCAAAATTATAAACATACAGGATCCTGCAAATTAATATACATTAACATTAAAATTCAAGTGGTTTGAAAAAATATTTTATTTGTGGGACTATTATGAAAGGTAAATGTGTGATGCCTGTAATTTTATGCTTATTATTAATACATGGATAAAAATTAGTAAAGCAAAAAAAATAAACAATACAGTCAAAAGTAGTATCACACCCAATCACAGAATACACACAATTGAATGACTCTATGTATATAAACTTGTTCCAAGTTTGGTTAGAAGTTAAAATGGATTACTGGGTTTGCAAACTAAAATAACATATTGTAGCAAATAAACAAATGATAAACAGCATAAATCATTTTTTAATAAAATAAAAAAAAAAATTACTCTGATGCTGTTTTTTCACATTCAATCCATGAATGTCAAGAAAATCTGTACCTTGTTTCACATGCCTGTGAGCATTCCTAGAAGAAAAAAAAATATATATGATGTAATACACCTCTAGTATATGTTATTCAATAGATAATTAACTTGATTAATCAAAACAATCAATTACATAAACAGTCATGTAAAATAATCTAAATTAGTGTTCCTAATTATTCCAATTAAAAGTAAGTTCTTTTTTTTAATGAAACATAAAATTGCATCAATATATGCAAATTAGTGCCAACAAATGAAATAAAATGGGAATCTTACTTTCAGCTGTTTCTTTTAAAGACATCTTGGATTATCCTTCCTTTGTTAGGTACAACAATTTAGAATTATGTTACTTTTTAATCCTACACTGTAGTACATAAAAATTGTTCATATAGATAAAGTAGAACATAACCTGTAACAAGCTGAAAATATGATTAAAACTATTCTGTGAGTTTCTCTCTACAATTTTCACATGACTACTTTAATAAAACTAAATAATTAATTCTTCATTAAAAATAATAATTCATGTGAACACAATCTTACAAAAAGAGAGTACAACCTTTACTATTTGACAAGAAAACATAATGTGATATTAGGTAACCTCTTTCCAGAGATTAAAATTATTCATAAGGTGGAAGTCAATATATCATAATAAATATTAAAATCACAATAATATGAAAAACCATTAACTACAGATGCTTCAATTTCACAAACAATATGAAAAACTTAACAATAATTAACATTTTTTTAAGTATAAAAAGAAATTGTAAACTTTTAAGCAAATAAGTTGCTGATATGGACAGAAGTTTAGAAAGCACACATTAAAACTATAAATATAAATACATTAAACAATATAGACTGGATGGAACTATGAATGCTGAGAAATCAATAAATCAAACAAGGTAGTATTTAAATGGCACATGACAAAAGCCAGACTTTTTAATCTTCCTATCTAGCCAGAGCTGGTCATAATTTACCAGAAGTCCTGATCATGTAAATAGGTTAATAATTTAACTGTTACATATTGTTATTATTCCATGTATTGTATTTTCTGACAGAAACAGTTAAATGAACCAGCTATTCAGCAACCAACATTTTTTAAGCAAATAAAGAATAATGAATATTCACTTGCTATAACTTATTTTTCTATTAAAACAGTCTTACCATAAGTAACAATGTTATATTTGTATCTTTTAGTAAGAGAGCAATATATTAAATTAAAGCCAGACTATTATTTAGACATACAACGTAAGCATGAACAATTTGTAAATAGGCATCAGAGTGGTTAATTATACAATCAATGGCCAAACCTTCATGTTTGTTGAGTTGTGTACAAGCAGAATGCATGTATACCATCTCCTGCAATCATACTAATCAAAGTAGTAATAGGTAATATTTTGATTAGTTCAAATAATCAATCAAAAATATTAATAATCAGAAACACTAATTTCAATTGTTTCTGAGACATTAATCAATTTAATCATAATTTTGATTAATCTATTATTTTACATGATATCATTTAATGCTCATAGGTAATCAGTTATTTCGATTAATCCAGTTACCCAGTGTTAATAACCACCTTTTAAATCCCACTATTAAACTTTATAAATTAGTTCATATTGGTTTCTTTTCTGTTCAACAAAGCTTTGTATATTCAAAACATACAAGTTTTAGGAAAGCCTTTTAAAACACCTTAATTGAGTAATGATGTCTCCAATAATGGTTAAAATGTGGCCTTGTTCTGATGAGGAACACTTCACCAATATTTGACCCAATCCTGAGCCTGAAAAAAACACGAAAAAATAGATCAAATTTCTACTTTTCTTCTTATTTTTATATCACGATGGGAATCACTAACAGTAAGATATGGCTTATGCTGAATACATATGGGTTATACTGTAAAATATATTTTAAAACTGAACTACAAAAAGTATGAAATGATATTAATTTCTTTTGTGCACATTATAAAATATTTATTAGAAAAACAATTATTCCTTATATGTTTTAAATATTTTCAGGTGTACCTAGTAAAAACCTTTCACATAGTACTTTATTCATAAGCAAAACATAATTACAACTTACCCAATAGCAAGTACTCAGAGTTGCCTAAAAATGAGCTATGAGAAAAGACTTCTTGAAGACCATCTTGGTAAGATATTAACAAACTCATCAACTTTCGCTGATGTGTCACATCTTGAGACTGCTGATATTCTCTAAAATAAAATAGAATGTAAAATGTAATATAGAAACTGAAAAAAATCAGTAATTCAACAATTCTTGACAATATAAACTAAGTAAAATGGCCTTAGAAAGAAAGGTTAAAGAAAATGAGTTGGAACTACATATTCAAGACACCATTGTCAAATTTATTTTTAATAAAATGAAAACCCAAAACTTCTACTGATTAACTCTCTCTCTACGGGCACCGTCCCACGAACCAACCACTTAACCATTTTGTACTTGTTAGTTTTCATGTTATAGCTTTTAATACAGTAAGCGTATCTTCACGAAAGTTTGCAAGTTATCAGCAAACATTACAAGTCTTTTGTACACAAAATATCAGTTTTTTTTATTAAGTTTAAGATTTTTTTAAGTAATGATTTGCTCATGCATTTTTTTTTAATGTTGACTATCAAACATACAAAGTAATTTTGATTTTAAGATTAAAAATACTTTTATGCATTAGAAAATTTTTAAATTTCACATGTGAAATCGTTATAACCTCCAGATAATTATCAAATGTTTTTTGAGAAAAAAACTTTATATTTTATCTGTTATTTTCACTATTGTACCTCTGTAGGGGTTTGGTTGCATCAACTGACCTCGCAACTACCATAAAAAATAGGAGATAGATATTAATTGCGCTTTTTTCATTCTAGAATTGCTGCAAATTATAACAAAAAATTACATATGTTTAGCCTAAATAGCTTAAATCTTATAACATTATAGATAAATAAAAATTATTTTTATTTTATTGACCCTTCAGCAGTGTCTGACTAACATTACAGAAGTTGAATGATGCAGTGCACATACAAGAGCACCTTTGTGTATCAATAGCTCCTTATCAAATTACCATACCCAATAATATAAAACTGGCCTTTACAAAGTGACCTGTCTTGGTTGTGTTCTAGTGGACCTGTACTTTGTAAAATACAGTCACATTTTGGTTATAATACATTATATGTTCTTAAATTTTAGTTATTTTTTAAAACATAGAACAGTAAATAAAGAAGTATAAAAAACAATTATCTCTTCTAGTTATGAACTTTGTACTCATTTGCTGCTTGCCGTATGTTGCTAAGCCTTATCAAATTTCATACATGGAGAATGTAAAACAAAATAATTTCTTTAAGTTTTATATATTCATTTTGAAATAAAAAAATTATAAATCAATATATCAATAGCATAGAATTCCACTATAAACTATGAGGCTTAGTAACTTAGCTGTATTTAGGTTTAAAAAACTATGATTTTTTGTGGTCAATAATGTCTTACCTTACCACTTGGAATATACCATGGAAAGAAAGAGTTTCCTGCGTAAATACTATGCAGAGGCTCAGAAAACCATGTGGGGGACATTCCAAGCTTTCGATTGGTTATTCACACATCATAGACAAAAGTAAGTGTACATAAGCAGGTATTTCCAAAAATGGAAAGAGGTGAGTGGGGCCACTGTGCTCGATTCAATAAATGTAGAGATACAGAGAATGTATAGAAAAGATAGGAGGTTTTTATTTAATATTCTAGCTTGTCAATATTAGCAATTTGAATTTATAATTCGTAAGAAACTACAGATTTTGTATTTGAACATCACAAACATCTAATTTTATACACTGTAACATATGTCACTTAAACTTATTTATTTTTGAAAGTTTTCTTTAATATTTTTCGAAAATTGTATTATTGATGTAAAAGTGAAGTCTTAATTAGATTTTTGCTTTCAGTAATTGTTTTCAAGATTTTGACTCCTCCTTCAAGCTCATTGTTTTGGTTTTATTTTTTCATAGTAACTTACTTTCTTTACAAATTAAATTATTACTTTAGAAGTTTCATGTTATGGATAGTGTAAAAAAAACAAAAAAAACATATGAAATATACAAACCGACAAGTATCAGAAAAATACTTGGATAGCTTTGATGAGACAACACTCACGTCACAAGAATGTTCTTGACATAAAACAGCTAAAGCAAATAAAGCCTGCCACGCTATCTCACGCTTCTTCGGAGTAATTCTTTCTCCATGAAGAAAATCTGTTATATCACAAATCTTTTTGCTCTGAAAATTTTTAAATCAAAAACAAAATACATAAATTCTTTAATACAAAATAATGCTTCTGACAAATTTGACATTTTTCAAAGTATTTTTGCAAAACAACAGACAGCTTTAAAAATATTATTCAACTGTAATGATTTGCAAAAAAACTATGTATAGAAATAACTAAAGAAATAATATTTTTATGTGGGTATTTATTTTCAAAGCCTGCCTATAAAAACTTTGACACATTAGTTTCTATTATGCATATTCCAAATCGATCATCCATCTTAAAATGAAATAATCAACTTAATGAGGAGCAACACTGAGATAACAAAAAACATTTATTGTAAATTTTGGAATGCCCTCATTCCATCTTCAGTCAGCTGATCTAAAGGATATAGATACAATAAAAATCAAGTAACATGTGACAAAATAACATGGATTAAAACATAAATAATAATATATTGTAATCTAAGCATTCTTGAAAGTCAAAAGTAATTAAAGGATGGGTAATTAAATCTAAGATAATTTAAACTCCAGAAGAACCATGAGAGTTTAACAGTGTATTTAATAAGGATTTCCTTTATGAGTAGTTCCATGTCACTACAACTATAGTTAAGACTTTGAAGTCCAAGAAATGAATATTTGATTACAGGTCTGAAAGGAAGATGTGGGAGATAGTAATTTATTTCTCATTTTATGTTAAGCTCCCACACATTCATAGATACACATAAATAAATGGTGTCTGGTTCTGCCTATGTAAGTTACCTTGCAGCTAACACATCTTTATGATTATACAATCCATGAATAGAGTGGGGATGAGATAAGGTCTTTAAAGTGAAAGAGATGTTTTATTTTAAAATAAGGTTTTAATGATAATTCTTAGTTGTAATTGGTGTAGTATTTCTGTATCAATTTTGCAAGATGATCTTTTTTATAGTTAATCACTGTTCACCTCAGTATGGAAGGTATAAATACAGAGGACACTTAGGATCAGTAATGTCTTTATCAGTGATATTAATTTTTTGGTTTAAAAAAACATAAGTGACAATTTCCAGAAGCTGCTCTGGATATCCATTTTGTTTTAAATAATAATAAGTTTTCTCTTGTTGTGTAGAGCTAAGACAAAATTACTTTTTTTAGTTTCTTATTAAATACCATCTCCCATCCTTAAACTCTTATGTTTCTTATCTGGAGCTTAAATAATTTTAGATTTAATTATTCATCCTTTAGTTACTTCTTATTTTCAAGAATATTTAGGCTACCATATATTATGTTGTAATTTATTTTTAATACACATTATTTAAAATTCTACAACAGGTAGGTTGAAGTGTGCATGTCCCAACCTTTTACAGAGTGACATTAAAAATTTAATTAAACTACTTTATTATCAACTGTATAAAAATAAACTTGGCATCAAAACTTAGTTAATAAACCAAATTTAATACAAGTCTTATGTTCTTAACTTAATAATGAAATATTTTTAAAAATCCTCAATCTCCCCTAGTATGAGAATTGTGACATTTACTTTCCCTCTTTTCTAATTTATTTAACACCCTTCAATCTTATTTGTTTACAGAGCCATAAAATTGAAAATCAGACCCAACTGTCACATCATCTCTTTCTGAAATTGCCAATAGTTCTCTCTGACATTTAATACTATATTATTTATAATCAATAGAAAACCAAAGTTTTTATCTATCAAATGACGTAATACATTACATTGTTTTCTGTACAGAGAATTTCACTTCCAGTTCAAACTTTATTCCTATGGGAAACACATCTACAAAGTTAGCTGAATTTTTAACAGCTCTTATTACATAGTTAGAAAGCCAGAAAAAGTTATAGTTATAGGACATTCTCTGATTTTTACATGTTATTGTTTTGTGTTCTTAGGTGCATTATTTAGTGCAGTAGTATCATTAGTATAAAAAAGTAGATTTAAGTTTCATCGACAGTCAACCTAGGTAAGTATTATATTTCTTTTTTTTTCATGTGTATTCTCTTATTATTATTATAAAAGTAAGTAAAATGTAAAATTCATAATTTATTACACCAGATTAGGCAAAATAATGAAAAAACAAAATAAAAACTCTTCACGAGGTATGCTCACTAGCAACTGAAGCATTACATAATTCAATAAAGTAATGTGAGCTGCATGTTTGCCACGGGATTTACAACTTGTGTGGTGGGATAATTAGAGAAACATGGTTCAAATGTCAATAAAAAAATTAAGTATAAATAAGATGTATACTGTAATGAGATTTAAGCTATTTAGGATAAACGATAGTGGTTTCCTGTTACAATCTGCAGTCATTCTAGAAAGAAAAACTGGGTAATTTAGATTTCCTATTTTTTATGGTGGTTATGAGGTCAGTCAAATTGACCAAATGTATATATAAAATAACAGATAAAATATAAAGTTTTTCTGAAAAACAAACAAACTTGATATCTATTTAGGAGGTTTTAAGAGATTTGAAAATTTTCAAATGAAGAAAAGTATTTCTTATCATTACATGAAAATCACTTTGCACTCAGATTGAGTCAACACTTTGATTCCATATATTTTCAGACCAATTTTAGTAAAAACACTTAATTAAAAATTCTGATTTTTGTCTACAAAAAACTTATGTATGCTGAAAGCTTGCCAAATTTTGTGAACATAACTTACATACTTTCAAGTTTATAGTATGTATACCTTCATGGTTACGAGTTACTTTCATAGTGGTTATAAGGTCATTTAAATACAAGACCCTGTTGTGAAAAAGTTAAAGTTCTACTGTACTTGTATCCTTTACATATACACGTTGAAGATGGAATGAGAACATTCCAAAACGTACAATAAATGTTTTTTATTATCACAATGGTACTGTTGTTCCTCATGAAGTTAAGAGTTCTACCCCATGGATTAATGTTACAATTATGAAACGAGTTATTTACTAGTAAAAAATTCACAGCTAGAAAACTTTTTAAATAATAAAAATATACAAACCACATCATCCAAGTCTGCTGCACAAGCCAAGGTCAGAAATAAAGAGAAACAGTTTTGTAATCCTACTTCTGTCAGTCCTAGTAGTTTGTTTGAGTAAAACTTCATATAAACCCTAAATCCAGTAACATGACATTTAAAAAACTTATAACATTTTAGCATAATATATGTATATATATATATATATATATATATTATAAAATGGGCTTGCCAAAAACAAGTTAAACAGAAATCCCAATTGTAACTTATGTAATACAAACATCACAAACATTCACAAAAAATGAAAAATAATCTATGTGCTGTTAAAAATATAATATTAAGCTTAAAAATAAACTTCAAATACTACTATGAATGCTGTTTCCAAATATTACAAATCAGTTTCAAATACTACAGTAAATACTGTTTACTAAAATTTTTTTTTTTCCAGAACAATATAGAGAGGGGTTTGTCTGTGTGCAGACATTACTGCTGCTATTAGATGGCTCCTCAATCCATTTAACAAGGTATTGCCAGGATTCTAAATGGGTAATCCCGTTGAGAGTGAAATGACCTTTTAGGGTCAAACTGTAGGGGTGAAAACTGAATGGTGAAATCTTATGTTATGATCTAGGGTGCACAATGAGGGAATTAATCATTTCTGTTTTACACATAGTCTTCTGTACTTTTTGCATTCTGTTCAAATTTTTCATTTTCCACCAACTGCTTTACAAGTAATATGAAATATTAACCAATCTTTCTCTGCAAAATTTTATCACATTAACATTTATTAAAAGAATAATTAGGGGTGGTATGTATAAGAGGCTAGGGAAGGCTTAGCCTCCCCTGATAAACCATAGCTCACAAGGTATTGTTACAACAAACTCAGAATATAATACAGTATATGTGGAGAGAGAGATTAAAAGAGGGTGTATGTGAGTCACTGGGGAGTTAATTCATTCAGAATAATGAACTGATTTTCCCAATTGTATGAACCCTCACATATGACAGAATAGCCTACCCAAACAAGACTCATTCACCGCCTATGAGAATGACCTTTTCTACATTTTCAGTTAAACAAATATCCCACTTGAAGATGGTTAAAATAATTTGCAGAAGTTAATTGCTATTAAGATTGGGCCATGCATGCCTGTCTGTTAAAAAACTAACATAATTATAACTAAATGTTTCATCATCAGAACATACAAATCCCATACAGATAATTAGCCATAATCAAGTTGAGAACATAACTACACTTTCTTCTAAGCCTCACACAACTGTCTATTCTGAAATAAAACAACAAGAAAATGAAATCCTATTAACACCTATTTATAATTATTGATTAAATCCATAACAAAAGATATACTAAATGAAACTAGTAGATTTAACTTAAACATATGTACTAAGAATTCATTCATGTTGTTACTCAAACAACAGATTTCAAAACAGTAATACACCTCCAGATACATCTATTTATAATCTTTATACTGAAGAATTTAAGAACAAATATACAAATAAAACGTTTCTGGAGAGGACAAAAGAAGCACTGACCATCAGAAAATCATGACCTTGTCATGTCTTAAGATATGCCTAGAGGTATGCAGTCATGAGACAAGTGGCATATTTCTGAATGTTGGGTCAAATGTGTTTTCTGAATGACTATCTTTGTTGAGACACAAGAGCCTGTGGTAACAGCCTTGAAATGCTCCATCTAAACACCACAGCAAGGACAACAGGTTTTAATGGAGCCTGTCAGAAGGCACACACCATTCAAACACAGATGGTGTCCGAGGGCAAATGCTCATTCTGAATACCAACATTCATTATTGCAACTGATGAAATAACAGAACAGGTAACATACCAAGGTAAACCCTATCCACATCAGATGGGCATAGAACAATAGACCTCAACAGGAAAACCATGAAGTACATGATGTGTGTTAATATCAAGGTTCAACCTAGCACACAGTTACCTGATCTCAGCAACAGCTAGAGGTTTGTGAATCTAGTATGCAGATGAACAGGTGTAGTGACTTATAACATGTGGAATGTGAAAGACAAGACTTGATATAAAAGCAGACAAAGTAAAGCAAACTGAAGAATAAATGATGATCACCAAGGTGGTTAGACCATTGTTGGATGTTGAAACTGAAGAACAAAATAAAATCAAAGTAACAGTGATACTATAAATAAACTGAAGATGGAGCACACATGATCAGCAGAGGAAGTTGAAATACTTTTGTATGAAAGTACATTATGTTAATACAACAGTAAACTCACAGACAATGACTTATAAGCATAAATGTCTAAACCTTATGTTACTGAGTTAAATGGTAATGTCAGACTTACCTAGAGCAGCTAGTGCTACCCATGTGATTGATCATACCCATTCAGACCTAAAGGAGGTTTTAATCATAAGGAATCACCTGATATAACATTGGAGGACACTGATGTTTACATTCATGCACAAAGTGAAGCTTTACAGAAATAACTCCCATGGACAGACCAGGTATTATTTTAAGAAAATGACAAAGAACTAAGGTAGCTAGAATGAAAGTAATTTCCTGACTAAGTGTTATGTGAAAACTATTCATACCTAAAATAAATGACAATTTTCAAAAAAATTCTATATTTCAATAATAATGTAGAAATTGCAAGATAAGTTAATATACCACAAAAAAATCCCTTCCATCTTAAGCATGTACTCAAGTCAACAATTAATTTCAAACTTTAAAAATCAATACATCTATATATGCACACTGGTAAAGGAGTATAATAACTTCTCTCACCCCCGTCTGTCGACACAAACACAATCCCTCAACTACCATCTGGTTGTAAAGTAAACAGAGGCCAAATCTAGTAGGAAGTAAATGGGTTGAACTGCAAAACTATTTCCTACATACAAGCAAACTTGGGTTAGTAGATGACAACCTTTTACTGTAACAGAATTCACTAATGTACTAACCTTTGGAATTTGTTCCAGGTAAAATTTTAGTATTACCTGGGTGTGACTAATGAAGTTTCATCTTGTGGGCATTATTTCCTGTTTCTTGCATCACACTTACAGCGTGCATGTTCATGTATATTAACTGCAATTTGTACTATTTTTCAAGTGTGACTGAATCCCAGTCTCTAACACCAGCTCTTAGTGGGAAGGAAAGGTGGGAGAGTGGGAGATAGGGTGGGTATTATTGGAAATACATTTTTGATTTCAGAAAATGTTCACTTCCAATGCATCTGCATAGATCATGGGTGTGGCAATAAAAGATTGGCACCCTAGTGAGGGAATTGCACTACAACCAGAACAGGTTTGCTGTTCACCCGGAACTTAATTCCTGTATTGTGGGTGGAATTTTACATGATTTATCATCTCTACAGGCCAGGCCCCAATCAGATAGCTGAGGTTACACCACTCAAGGTTGAAATTAAAGGGCCATGGTCCCTATATCCCACATTGGTGGCTAGAGTAATTGGACCATAAATTATATATATATATACTTATGAGCAGATACCAACCTGTAGCCATAGAGTGATGCATTCCAAGCCAATGGAATCATGATGAGAAATTAAGCAACACTGAAGTAGACAAACCTTCTCCTCAACTAGAAGAAGTCCAAAAGGCATCACCCCAGGCTCAGAATTGTGGGAACATGTATGCCTTACTCAACCAGTCTGGAATTATGAACACTCATCTTCACTCCCCCAACCATGTGGGCAAGGTAAATTGCACTTGTCACTGGAATTATGGTGAGGATGTAAAACAACTGTGCTCAACCAAGAATCTTGAATGGGACCACTCTGTATTTGGAATTATGAGGAGACAGTGGACCCTCTTACATGAACAATGTATTAAACCAATATTGATCAAAAAGAAGGTCCACGATCAATCCAACCAGATAGCCAAGCATCAAATCTGCATCAGTATTAGGAGTAGGATCTCGCACAGGCTGGTGCCACTCCTACCGACATCTGAGAAAAAACATACTGGGACCGTGGTAGGAGGACCCCCAATTTCACCCTCTTCTCCAAGAGTGGAGGAATTCACTCTAACACTCTGGAGTAAAAGCTTATGTCCACCACCTCACTGAGTGGAAACTGGGTGTGGTAAGGACTCTCTAGCTCCACTAGGAGAATCTAGGGGATAATGCATGTTGTGGAGCCCTAAGTAACAGTCCAATAGGTGAACCAAGTTCCCTAAATTTTTAAAAGCAAACCAACCCCAATTTATTCAATCCAAAGATTGGCAGGGATGGGCAGGATCCCCTTATGCTTCATTCATGATAGTCCAAGAGTGGCAGTCCAGCATAGTACAGTAATACTACCAGTCAGCCCCTAGATGGTTTTATGGAACACCTCATTTATACAGAGCCTGTTGCAACCTATATAAAATATACAAAATTAGTGGTTGCTAGTGCAGAATTGGTTCAATAAAAGCACACCTGCCTGGGTAACACTTGCCACAAAGTGGGATTCTGTAAAAACGAGATATGGGACCCTGAAAAGTAGCAATGAAAATACTCACCCCACTGTATAATCTATCAGAAATGGTTAAGGTAGCTACATGCAGAACGTGAAACCCTCAAATGACGATCCTACCAGATCATGCAAATAATGTGAGATAAAAGTATTGGGAGAGGTCCACATACCAGTCCACACAATATCCTCCATCAGACAATTCAACGTGGACACTAAGGACATAGAAATGCAACAAATCTGATTAGACATGACTCGCAGAAAACACTTAGCCTTCAAATAGCCCAGAATAAAAAGTCATTAGTGCAGGCAACAAAACCTTCAAGACCCTCACTGAACATGACCAAAATCTGATTGGACACAGATGAATCGGTGAAAAGAATTTATACCTTTCCCTGTCTGACAGTGACTTTGGTAAGAAGAACCAGTTTGAGGATGTAAAGAGAATGAGAAAGAGGTCTGTGGACAAACAGTGCAAATCACTCTGACCGGCAAAGTCTGTTGGTCAGCAGCCATGAAATATATACCTTCAGGTAAATGGTATACATGACATATAAGAATCAGGTCACAAACAGGTGTTCAGAAAGATCATGTAATGTAACCTTAATATACCTGTTAGGTAACTGGAATAGTCATTTGGGACCAAGGACCCAAAGTGACATGTTGA